GTAAATTCTCCCTTTTATCACATGTACCAGGAAATAATTGTAACCTAAAAAATACACACACCAATACACACAAAAATATAAATAAATTCTATGAAATTAACATACAATTTACCATGCTTTTCCTGTTATTTGTGTACATTTTATTTCTTGTCAAGTATGCTTTTATCTACATGAACACAAGGCTAATTTCTGCTGCCATCATGTTAGTGACCCCAAAATATACATAAACAGAATGTTAAAGAAATAAAAAAGAAAGTGATGGAGAGAGTGAGAGAATTAGACATATCAACTTTAGATCTTAGGAATACCAAGAATAGATTTATTACCTTCTATGTTTACCTGAATGAAATCAAGTACCCAACAATGTTGATATTCTTCAAGCTAACCAACCATAACTAAAGTCTCGACACAAAATGTTTCTATCTTGGACATTGTGGTTGTGTAGAGAGGAAAAATACAATGCTTACATTTGTTGTCTTATATACATATTATCTTTTTCTTTTCTTCTTCATTTTCCTACTTAATTACTTACATCGAACTGATCACTTTCATTTCAGATAAACAACACTGCATTTATAACTTACACATTTGACTAACCTCATCTGTGGTGATTTGCTAAGTGTATATTTCATCAACTTTTTCTTACCTAGATTTCTTGGTATATTCTTTCCTGACCTGCATTCTGGGCATTTTAAAGAAAAGGAATGTTTACTTGTAATCAATGACATTTATTGGTTGAAAGTAAAATATTAATGTTTTTTTATCTAAAATATCTCAATATAGTGTTGTGGATGTGGGTGATGTGTGTTGGAGAGCAATAGAAGGTTTGAATTATCAGAAGGCTTAAAATTGTATGTTCAATTATATTCCAATCCACAACAATTAATACAAGACATAGAATAAAGATTCATAAACATCTTGTTTCAAAACGTAACAATTTAATTTATTAGTGTTTGATATACATGCATGAATACTGAGTGAAAAGGTTAGACAGAGTTGTGTCTCTTAGATTAGGTAATATTTGTACCTAAGTTCATAAAGTGAAAGTAATTATTAAACTGTAGTTTAGAAGAATAAAGCTTCTTTAGCATGTTTGGAATTGTGTATTGTACAAGTTGGTAAAAGTTCAGAAGAGATTTTAGAGTTCGTACTTGCGTGAATGTTGGTAATGGTCTTTAACGTCTGACTGCATTAGTTAAGACGGGAGTTCTTGAAGATTACATCTTGGCAAAAAAGACGAGAGAGAGAGAGAATTTACACGTGTTTTATATTTATAATATAGTGTATCACGTGGGAGGCTCTGAGCCTATTGAGCGGGAAAATAGATTTGTCACGTACAGGCGGTTTGATTGGTCGGAACTGACCAATCAGCAAGCTAGGTTGAAGGTGATTAGCCAATGAATGCTTGTTATATATTTTGTAAAATTGTGATGGTGAAAATTACAACAGGAATAGTGCATTTTCTAGCAGGGGTTAACTGGCTTGTTGTGGAAGATTCCACAATAGGAAAACCACTTTTGCTCATTTCTTCAGAAGAGAACACTTTTGAATGTCATGTTTTTTTTTTGATGTGATTTGTTGTAACATTAAATTTAAAGAGGGCAAAGAAAGGTGTAAAGAATCCAGATGAACCTTTAAGCTTTTAATGAAGCTTTATTCAAAGCAATTCGACCAGAGTGTCTGTGATACTAGATACTAGACCATCACTTTTTATAGTAGTGTAGTTCAAGGCAGAGACAACTATGTTTGCCTTCACCACATCAGGCATCAAGTTATCAAATAATCATAACTCAAGAAGATGGAATATTAAAGAGATTTTTGTTTTCATATAAGATTTTCTGCTTTTCAAGAAAAACACTTCATTCAAATATCTTTAAGGAATAGAAACAAAAAGTGTAACAGTTTAACAGGATCTTTTTAAAGAATCTTATATATTTTTTGGATTCCCTTTAGCAATATTATGTACTTGCAAAGAATGGTAACAACAGAAACCAGTGCTGTAACAGCCAAACTCTGGCTTCCAGTGAAATGTTTGGTTTGCCTACTTCACAAAAATATTTGCTTCATCTTCAGGGATAGATTACAGTTTTTTAAAAATCACCATTACAACAGAATACAGATTTTATCACAGTTACAATAACTTTGTCTTTGTAAGATGAATCTTGATAAATTTCATCTTAATGTCAAGAAACTGATTAGACAACTGGAATGGATCAGTACAAAAATAAGTAGACACAATATGTCTATATTATTCAATGAAACATGTTTGAATGAAGATATTCTGCCTAATATTCACCTTCATCCCTGCCATATGCCAATGGCTTAGGGGTAAAATCTCCGACTGATCACAGCTTGAGGCAATCAAATATCTAACCACACTAATGAGCTGTGAAACAGTCTGTGGATGACAATATATATATATATATATATTATCATCCACAGACTGGGTTCTATAGCCTTGGATGGCAACTGGTCTACTGCAGAAAGAAATGGCAACCTACTGCAGGGAAAAATCTGCCTCATCAGTCATGTATGGAATGGTACATGATTGCCTGTGTCATGCATAACTGACTGAAGGGAAAAATATTACTATCAATACATTTTTGTAAAAGAAATTACTAATGTTCCCAAGAAAATTAAATTTCAGTATTAAATGACCCATAAGGAGTTGATATGCCACTAAACAAACATACCCACCAGAAAACAAAAAAATGCCAATGTTTGTTATGATACTGGCCTAAAAGCAATGGTAAACAAAATTTACACATGTAAATATTGGGTCTATTGTTAATAGAGGTGGATGGAAATGGAATAAATTTCAACAGAGTGATATTTTCATGTATTTTTATATAACTGAGTAACAAAGAAGAGAAAACCTACTAGTATGCTTTTAAAAGAAAGAAGACATTAAAAGTTAGCAATTATAAATTCTGTGTGTGTGTGAGAAAAAGTTCAGTCACTCAGGAGAAAGATATTCCAATGCCTGGGACAAAGTCCTGTGATGGTGTAACTTCTATTGCATGCTAGAAGGATAGGAAAGAAAAGAGAAAGAAAACAGGCGTCTCCCATTTTTATAACTGTTTAACAGCACCTCCTAATGGTGTATTGGTGAACTTCTCAAAGTAAAGTGGAGATAACACACACACACGTAGACAATTTGGCAGTGTCAGCAAAAACTAGATTTGCTGAATGGTCAGTGCACAGAACATTCAGAGCTTTAGGATTTATTTTGAGAACTCAGGTTTAGATACCAATCCCTTTTTCTTTCCTTCTTGACTCCATTAGTATATGACTGGTCCTAACAATTTAAAAGATTTAGTTCTTTGTTTTTTCAAAAAATATGTCAACATGTCAAAATTCTGACCCATTTTTAAAATCCATTATCAAAATTATGTTCCATTATCAAATTTCTGATCCACTGGCAAAATCCATTATGAAAATTCTGATCCATTATCAAAATTAAAAGAAATGTTTGAACAGTCAGAGGAAGAGCAATAGCAAACGGGTTTGTGCAAAGTACCATAAATATAAATGAGCAATGCAATGTATAAAACTCACCTGATTTTAGAGCAAAGAAAATGACCAAAACTTGTGAAAACTGAAGAGAAGAAATGAAAAAAAATGGACATTAGAGAAACATTATGAAAGATTTATTTCCCTTTGTTGCAATATGCCATCAGATAGGTATTATCTATCTCAGTGTTTCTCAACCTTTTTAAGAAAAGGCACACTAAGAAGCAAATGCAAATATCAAAGCACAATTAGCAAAATTTTTAAAGGGTGTATATTTAAATGTTATGAAAAAAAACATAGATTTAAAACAAATAAACACACAAATATGAATTTACTTTATTTCAATGTTTCTATTCAACAAAACAAAGTTTAATACTTATTCATTTATTCAAATACTAACACTGTACCATTACTACTTCTACGCACACACATATATACCGTGACAATATTTCATGTCACACTTAAGAGGATCATGTGGCACACTAATGTGCCCTGGCATGGCAGTTGAGAAGCACTAGTATAAAGTAATTGTCTGACTCATAGCATTTTAAGTCACCACAAACACAGGAAGAAACCATAGATCATAAGAGAAAAGTGGAAAGTGATACATCTGACTAAGAAAAATAATGGCATCAATGAATAAAGAAAAAAATGGTCACAATAGCAAACAAGCAAAATTTATTCAAATGAATAACAATGAGTTCATCTCGTAGGAATTTTCTTGGTGTGTTCTTTGAATGATGAATGTGATATTTTCGAGGTGTTCATAGCAGTTGGTTTTCTCTTTTTATGAAAGTCTGGTGGGTAATAGGAAGTTATGATAAAAGTCTTTACTTATTTCTTCATTATGGTGGAAATTTACAAAAAGGTAAAGTAAGGGTTTATCACTTGATCGTTAGCAGTAACATGCAAGTAGAGGAGATGGGTGCTGTGATTTAGGTGAAGTTAAGGTAAGAGCCTGTACTCACATTTTCCATCTTGATTTCATGGCTGGATTACTGGTTCATGGAGCCATATATGTCTGATCCCAACAACGCCAAAAGAAGAAGAGTCTTGTTTAGGAATTCTAAACTAAACAGCTAATTAAGGCCTTGCTTTTACATAATGAGAAAAAGGTTTAACTTTTTTTTTTTTTAATTTTTATTTATTTTTTGTGTAACTAATGTTTTGACTATTGTTTTTTTTTGTTTAATTAATGTTTTGACCATTGTACCTTTCAGCTTTTCTTCAGGTGTCTTTCATAACTCATAATTTTCTTGAAATTTCAGTTTGAACCATTTAAACAAGATGAGATATCCTCTAATATGGACAATGAAATGAAAACAACCTAAGCCCTTAGGTTGAATTCAAATTTCACAGAAACTTGCCAACTACAACAGATACCTAAAGCCTGGTGAAATTCTATTGCATTCTTATGGTCAAAACATTGTGACTATAACAACCAAAAAGAGAACAGTAATAATTATTGTTGTTTGGTTTCATTTCAGGAGTTCTGGCCCAGATCCGGATTTTGATAACAGCTGAAGATAACTCTCATGCCAAAGAAAAAAAGGAAAAAAGGCACATAAACCTCAGATGTCGAGTGACTGACACCACAGATATTCATATAAAATGCCAAGATTTGTGGTGGACAAGAGAAATTGACCAAGTTAATCACAAAGAAGTGGTTATTGGCCATATGAAAACACAGTCATTCTTGACTGGTTACCAGACAAAACTGAGTGTGCATCCACCCAAAGAACAATCCCAAGAAGTTTATAGCTGCCATGCTTTATGTGGCTTACAGACTTTTACAGCAACATGTCACCTCATGGATCTAAAAAGTAAGTCATATTTGTACAAGGGATACAATTCTTGAATATACGTAACTGCTACTTTCTCATTACCAAAGAATGCATCAGATTCTTCAAATGTTAAAATAAGAACAAAATATGGCAGGAGTTGCTTATGGGATAGATGAAGTAGCTTAGCTATAGTGAAAGTAGTCTGCCCAGGAGAATAAAATCTCTGATATAAAAACTATATCATTAGGGGATAAATTTCAGTTTAGTATCTAGTACATTCAAAATTGAAATTGGAGAGCCGAGTTTGAATTCCATTTGAATCCATTACATTCACTTGTGTGCTAATACCCTTGGAAAAGGTATGAATCCTCTTCATCTCTCCCCAGCTATGGGTAAATAGCAGGACAGACTGGGTCCTATAGCCTTGGATGGCAACTAGTCAACTGCAGAATGAAATGGCAACCTATTGAAGGAAAAAATCTTCCTTGTTGTTCATGTATTGAAAGATACATGATCGCCTAAGTCACATAACTGACTGATCGAGTATAAGTAAAACTAACTTATGGAGGAAAGCCATTTTTTTTAACCTGTTTGCGCATAAATCTTTCCAACTCTAGTGTTGGAGTAAGAAAATTTCTAGAGATTGCCTTAATCCAGCATGAAAGAACAGGCTGATAAAACCAGAATGAGGGTGTCAATCCAGCATCCGCCCCCCCCAACACACACACACACAAAAAAAAAGATTTCTAGGTTAGTGAGGGTCACTACCTCTGATCTCTCATGCAACCAGCAATGGCAATCTAGGGAATCACTTCAGCAAAACTTATTAGATGGGGTGTTACATGAGACCAGAAGAATATAAATATAGCCACACAAAGATGTGTCTCTTTGGAAAGATTTGGTTGATTTTGTTTCATGGCATATCAACCTCTATGGGTTATTTAATGCCAAAATCTAAATATTTTGAGAGCAGTTGTATGTCTTCAACTACAGATAAAATGTATTGGTCATTTTGTTATAAAATGTCTTGTTGGTAATTCTACTATAAAATATATTGTTGGACATTTTACTTTAAAAATGTATTGTTGGTAACTTTATATAAAAATGTATTGCTGGTATTTTTACTATAAAATGTATTTTTATAATTTCATAGTGTTTTGCTTTTGTTTGGAAGTTCACTACTTGCACACAGCTGGGACCCTAAGAGGTGCTGCAACCCTGGGTCAGGGTGAACCTGGGAACAACAGCAATTAGGAAGTGGTGCCACACTCCTCAAAACTTCCCAATCAGAGACCTTGTTGCTGGATGTAGTTTATCATCATACCCAGGACTTTCTTTGGAAAGAACTATCTGGTATTGATGTACAGTTTTTTGTAGGCAGAGATAGTGAAAAGAGGATGATTCTTGGGGTTTGTTTTGTGGCTGAAATATTCATGTATTTAAAATTGATGTAGGAAATTATAATTCATAACTTAGTAAAAAAGCCACATTTCAAATGCTGATTATCTAGACAAGTAAGCAGAGCTGTTTGGAAGATTAATAAAGTAATTATTATTGTTCAATTTCTCCTGAAATTTTATCTTGAGTCATACTTAGCTAAGCTTAGTAAATATCAAAAACAAAATAGCTTGTGAGACAAGGGAGATAACTTTTAGTTAGAAATGGCTACATGTAACCATAAATTCTATGCTAACAGTTGTGAATTCATTTTACAAAAAGAAATAATTGCTATTGTTTTAAGAGTACAAGATTTTTAATATATACTGATATATTACAGTATTAGATTGGTGGATAAATCTCATCATTCTACAACTGAAATTGCTAGATGCAACCATAAATTCTATGCTAACAGTTTCTTTTCTCACACTTCTCGCTTGTGGAACTCTCTTTTGACTTCTTGCTTCCCAACCAACTTTGATCTTTAAGAATTTAAATGCAATGTTGATTGTTATCTTCTGTCTTCTTAATTCCTGTTCTTTTATTGTTCTCTCTCCTTAAGTGATTTTTTTTCTTATATTCACTTATATTCAGTAACTGCTTGTGTCTGAGTGGCTTTGTTGTCTTGCTTGGGGTAAAATGATTAAAAAAAAATGAAACCCTCAATATTAGACAAAATGATAACAGTGAACTTGAGAAGCGTAATTGCCTGTAAAACTGTTTTAAGAAAAAGATTTTATATATTTAAACCAACAGTAAAGCTGTGAATTACAATGAATGCCACAAGTTTTCTGTATGGAAACGGCTAATTTCACCATTACCCATTACCATTAATTTCACCATTATCCATTACCATTAATTTCACCATTAACATTACTCCCCTGCTCAACTGGTAGAATTATAACGTATTCAGGAGTTACGGCCTGGCCACAGCATCAAATATATTACGGTGTTCTGGCCATGGCCTGTTCACGGCCCCCAAATATGATATATTCAGGGCTGCAGCCTGCTCATGGCGACCAATCATATGACAGAGTTCCAGGTCCAGTCTGCTTCGATCACCAGGTATGGCACTACTCAGGGTCAACCCCAGTCTGCTCGCTTGGTCAGGATTGATCCTGGTATCAGAGAACAAGCCGTCAGCCCACTCATCGGTCGTTGATGGCATTTGACACAGCAGCTGGTCTCAAAGTTGACAACTGTGACCTCTCTTACCCATGTTGTGATTTTGATCTTAAGAGAGTCAAGCCGAATTTCCACTGGGGTATCTTAACCACACTAAACCAAGGTGTTGAACATGTGAATACAAAATCAAAAAATAAAATGGATGACGTCTGAATAAGTCACGATATGATGTTTATATCAGAATAACAAAAAAATATTTACAGTTCTTTTCTTCTTTTCCCAACCCTTTCCAACAAGTAGGGATGGAACGAAAATTGCGGGTAGCTTCTTTAAGAATCTTCAAGTACTGTGGTTTGTACTTTCATGGATGGCACAAGGTTATTCATCAAAGTTTTTCTTCAGTGACGACTGGTTTTAACTTCAAAGTACTGTGGTTTGTACTTTCACGGACAGCACAAGGTTTATTGGCAGAGTCTTTCTTCAGTGGATAATTTATATTATTATTCTTTTCATCAGGTTGGCAAGCAGCGTTATATCAGAAATCTCTTAACTCTCCGTTGCAACCTCACTGCAACAGCAACTCAACTGGCTGGCCCCAACTCTCTCCAAATCCAACTAACTTTGGCCCACATAGGCACTTGTATTTATGGGTGTCCCTTTCAACTGGTGTGGTGCAGGCGAATAGGTGGGTTTTATGCAAATTTCCCAAAATTCAACCAGTCATTTTCTTTCATTTTCTATTTCACATTTTGGAAGATCCTCTCCTCCTTTGGGAGGAGCCATTATATGATGTCAGCCTTTCTGATGTCATTTGTTTTAAATCTGTTTACAATTGTAATTTTTTCTCAGAGATATTTTGGCTGACAATTTTCTCAGTCAAGCCGGACATTTCTCAACAGCTGACCTTAACCTCTGGCCTCTGATCCTGCACCTGTTTGACGAACTGCATTGTTTAACTTTTTCAACAAAATTCATACATCTATTCCCATATCCTGGGAAAATAATACTCTTTCTGACAAAAATTTAAAATTGTTTTGTTTTAACCTTTTTTGTCCATTTAACCCTTTTCGTCCATACACCATGTTAAATTTTGTTACAAAATAACCATTACAATAAGCATTTTTATTATTGTTTTACAGATTTTCTTTCACAATTTTTCTCATTTTTCTTTCAGACTCCATGATTGAATGTAGTTCACATTTCATGAACAGCTATCAAAAGTTGAAATTGAGAAATGAAAGCACTGAGATCCATGAAATGAAGACAACCTTGAGTATTGGAACGCCATTATTTGGCATCATGTTGGTGATTCTTCTGATAATTGCTGGGCAGAAAATTATGAAAAAGTGTAGAAAAAGAGAAGTACTATCTGCAGATGTTGTTGAAATTATTGAAAAGCATGATTCAAGTGATGTTTCGAAAGCTGAAAACTCAAACAAGATCAATCCTCCACAAAAAACAGAAGGCAAACCTGTAGAAGTTAAATACAATTGTCCAAGTATTATGGTGAATGGGGAACTCGTAATGGATGGCGACACACCCTTTGCTAAAGTTTCTTACAAATCAAACAATAAACCAGTAATTTCATATGTACAAGACATGAAAGCACTACAGAACTGGGATCCTGGGGTGTCTTGTTTTACATTGGAAGAAAGTGATGACAATACTGATGAGGAGAATTTCGATAAGGAGAAACTACTGGTTCCAGATAATGATTGCTATACTTGGAATCGATCTGCCTCTTGTCCAGAAGTCACTTTCTGTAAACCCTGAAATTAATCCCATAATAGACAAGGGCTTTATTCCAAATAAACAAAATGAAATAATACTGCCCAGAAGAAAATTTATAAATAACCAAAAGAAAACAAAGCTTTATTTTTTTTTCCTATTTGTATACATTTTTGTTTCTTGCAGGACATCAGAAAAGTATCCTTCCTGCTTGCAGTTATATAGTTTTTTCTTAATTACCACTCCCACTCACAAAAGGTTTCTCTTTATTTATATGTATATTTTTTTCTTGTCTGCTGTGCATGGTTTACCCCAGATGCTGTAGGCCTGGATGTGCGGGTGGTATAATGGATAATGGCTTGGAATTGAAAAGTGGAGAGCCAAGTTCCAATTCCAGTTGGGTTCATTATATTCACTTATGTGCAAATACTCTTGGGAAAGCTATGAATTCACTTCTTCTACTCCCAGCTATGGGTTAATTAGTAAGATTTGTATCACTAAATTATTATTATCTCAAACAAAACAAAAAAATCCTTAAATCTAAAAATATTTTGGGCACCATCTATCACCAAAGTTTTTTTTTCTGCTCAAATATATATTCTTGTCTATTACTAGAATTCCTCAACCAAAAAATGTTTTTCTTTCTTCTCATGAATAAATTCTCTCTTGTGACTGACTGCTTGTACCATTCTTGCCTGGCACCCACTTTGACAAAACTTTTCTTTCTTTCTTTCTCCCATGTACTTTCTTTCCTATTTCTTACTGTGTATCTGTCAAAAGTGATTCTCATTAGGCACCCAACCCACTATCATTTTCTTTCCTTCTCCCACGTACATACTTTCTTTTAGTAAAAAGTAAAATTTCCAAAGTAAATCATATTTTCTCTTGTTTCTAATACAATGCATGCATAACTGCACTTTAGAAAGAATTTTAAAAATGGAAATTAAACTTCACCCAAATGTATATATTAGTTGTGTGTAAAAGTTCTCAGCACTTTTTGCGAAACTGGAGACTGAATACAAAATTGAAATGTTATATATATATATCAGAGACACCATGTCTACTTGGCTTTTCATTGTACACTTAATACTATTTATTTTACAGAATAGATAAAAGATATACAGGGTGTATCAAAAATACTTTTACAGACTTTGGGGACAGGTTCCTCACACCAAAACAAGAATAAAAGTCCATATAAACATATGTTTGTAAATCCTTAAATTAAGTTTAAAGTTTACGGTAAATCCTGTTAAATGTACAATCCAAGATACAATCCAAAAATACTTTTACAAATTTTGGGGGCAGGTTTGTGAAAAGTTTGTAAAAGTATTTTTTATACACTGTGTATATAAATAGATAATTGAATAGGAGTAGATAGGTTTGTCTATTGCTCAGTTCACATTCCTTCCTTGTATTTTGAAGATTAGTAGAAATTTTATCCCTTGTTTCCTGTTTAGGATTGGGTTTCCTTTTCCTAAAGTCTTCTTATTCTCTTTCCCTTCCAGTAAGCTCTTGTATCTTAGTGATATTTTCACCTTGCTTGGGGTTAGATGATAAAAAAAAAAAAGTAGTAATAGAAATTCTTTGATTTCCACCAATTAATTACAACCTTTTTAACATTAGAATTAATGATTTAAGTCTTAAGGTTTGAATTTTGTTGATGAGACATTTTCATTAATAATTTATATTATTTTTATTGTAACAGTTGGGGTTGTTTGACATTCTAAATCCTGGAATAAGCAGCATTCATTGGGGATAAAAAAAAAAGTAGCTTTGATGAGATTTAAACTTGAGAGCTTGCCTGACTTGGACAATAGGTTTACTGATTCAGTCATGGAAATCAATCAGCTGAATGCTAAGATCAAGTTATATTATGTTAAAATTGACCTGAGTATTGCAATAAAGAATTAATCTCTAGTAATATAACCTGATTATTAAAAAAGAAGTAACATAGCTATTCAAAGAATGTTCCCATTGCCTTATCTCTAAAAAAATGTCAACTGATCACATTTTGCTGTTTAATAAGCTTAGCTTAATTGGCTCAAGGTCAAAAGGCTCAGACACCTAGTGAGAATCAAACTCATTACTAAGAAGTAATAATGGTAAACCAGACTAACCCACTAACTAATTACCCCATGCCGAGGCCCCTTTAATATTATAAAATTAGTTTGTAAGCAAGAGCATAGCTGGCGTGGGAGTGGGGGTTGACACCTTTGGTTTAGCTAATATTGAAATAAAAGTGGTATTAATGTCAGGACACTACTCCCAGTTAAAGGACTTTCTCAATTTCGAATAATTTAAACTGTGGCATATATATTTAAGCAGTTGTTATCTTGGTCAAACAATATACATTATCCAGGGCTGTTTTATCATTGTTGGTAATGTGAAACCAGTGAACAGACTCAGAGTGCATTCTTTTAATGTTACATTACTGCTAAGTATGGGAGACAGATCTTGGTTGTTATATAAATTTCAGTTATTTTCCTTGACAGAGTATGTGTTGCTATTTTTCATCTTTAGGACCTGTTAATAGTTAATACATTACATATACACACACACACACCTTATATGTATGTGTGTGTGTGTGTGTGTGTGTGTGTAAAAGAAGGAGTCATTGTGCAATATGTTGTATTTTTTGTGGGGGACTGGGGTGCTAAACTCATGGGCTGCCCCAGGTGGCACATACTCTAGCTACCCAATTGTTTGTAATCGGTGCTAAAGCTCAATAGGAGTAGCTTGCTAATCCATTACCGTCTTGAAGAGTTTAAGGAGCACCAAGATTTGCAAGTAATAAAAATCAAAATTTTATTGTGCTGGGAGTTTAGAATGTAGCCCAATCTGGTTAACTATTGAAAAAAAGTAAACAATACTTTTAACTAAAGTTGCCTGCTCTGTTGACCCTGAGAGGCTGGAATAAACAATGCTTTTTATCTGACATTGCCTATTTCTTGCCTGCTCAATCAACCCCACCATTCATGGTAACTAGAAATTAGAACAACAAATTTCATCTCCGATTAAGCTTTTAGTCTGATTAAATTACCATTCCTTCCTAATTTAAAGCAAAAAAAAAATGTATAAAATGAGTGCATTCAAAACAAGGAACAATCTTGAGAATATATTATTTGAAGCAAGCTGGAAATGAATACCCATTAAAATAATGGCCAATTCTTTCTTTTTTATTCAGCAAAGATTTTTGAAAATTTATTAAAGGGAGCTAACCATTGAATTAAATTTATGTAAGTAATAATTAGTAGAGCACTTGTGTTTGATGAGTCTAAACATAATTTTTACATATTTTAGTTTTTCAATTTTTGTCTACAGCTGAGATGAAGCATGATAATAAATTCATTTTATAGGAGAAATTTTCAGTATGATGAAAATCATTTAATCTGTTTTGTTTTTTATTTTACCCTTTTTTATTCAAGTTTACAGTGAGAAAAATTGGAGTAAAAAAAAAAAAAAAGAAGAAAAAATGCATACATACATCAATATATAGATAGGACAAAGCTAAAATTAGTTATGGCAACTTATTACCTTAGTTCATTTTGTCTCATTAGGCTGAGAATGGCAATCCTGACATGTTTAAGCTGACAAGCTGAAAGGCAAAATTGAACTAGCCAATGAGTTGCTATAATTATTAGGTTCTTCAGAAAATCATGCCTGATTTTAGAATCAACTTTTATTTCTGAATTAATGTATTTAAACAGTGTTTAAGTCAATCAAAATAGGAACCCCAAACATCTATACATTTCTGTCATCAAGTTACAAAGTTATTTACGTATTTATGATAAAACTGTACAGGTTTGGATGCCAAGAAATCTTTGAATGCAATCTCTGCATCTTTTTTTGAATGCAGTTTCTGCATCTTCTTTGCAGTGGTATGTCTTTTGGTTTTAAAATGTGCTAGTCTGTAGGCAAGAGATCAGGAGAATATGGTAGATGTGGCAAAATCTTGTATCCTAAGTTGATGAGCTTTTGAAATGTCATCTAGGCAACATGCGACCGAGCATTGTCATGAAGCTGAATTGCACTTCATCAATTAACCAGTGCCGGTCACATTATGCTAAAATGAATGCATGTTTCACCCAGTTGCTTGTAGTAAACTTTGGCAGTGATGTTCTGGTTAGATTTTTAAAAGCTGTAATGAATGACACCAATGGCAGACATCCAGACAGTCACTATAATCTCCTGTTGGTGCAATTTCACTTTTAGAAAGCGTTTTACTTGTCATGATCAAGTCATTGAGCCAATCATTTCAATTCTCCTAAAGGATCCATTTCTCATCAAGTTACTATTCGATCAAGAAATGGATCATTCAAATTTTTCATATGCAGCATTGAACACTTCAAAATGTCAAACTCTTTGACTTTAGTTGAGTTCATGTGGAACCCATTTATTGTGTTTCTTCAATTTTCTTGAGATGGTCTGATATTGTTAAAATGCTGACACCCATTATCTGAGATGTTTCTTTAACAATGTGGGTATCGATTTTGTTTGACTAGTGTTTTCAGAAGTTGATTGTTAAGTGCACATGGATGTCCTCTACCACCTTGATCTTCAAGACTAGTATCCCCACTGCAGAACTTCAGAAACCAGCGCTGTACTGTTCAAACACAAGAAGATCCTTCACTCCATACTCTGTTAAAGATGGCAATAGTTTGAGAAGCATTATCACCAAGCTTGAACTCATGCAAATAAAGCAAATGCACCTTTCATGTTCAAGATGTGGGGTTATATATATATATATATATATATATATATATATATATATATAAAAATATATAAAAATTCAGAAATAGATTGTATAAATGAATAAAAAGACACTTTAAACATTAGGAATGAATAATATATTTTTGTACAGTTCATTAAAATATATTAGAACACAATTAAAATATTTATTCTAAAATCAGAGATTATTTTCTAAACAACAATTTTAGCTCAATCTGAAATTGGTGTTTTTTAAAGTATTGAACATTTTCACATTTTTTATACATCTTGTTAAGGTATAAAATTTTCTTTATATTCCTGTTGATATATAAACAAAAAAAAGCAATGTTTAACATTCATGTCTGCAAAAAAGAAGTTTTTCCCTTGACACCACTATTATTTTAACTAGCATCACTCCTTGGCAATGTTTGTTTTAAAAAGCAAGTAGAATTTTAATAAAACCTAAACATACAAAAGTGAATTTATACATTACTTTTTGTTGTTCAGAATTTGAAAACATTAAATATATCTTATTAAATTTTTTTTTATTCGAATGGTTGGCAAAACATCAGCTAATTACCAAGTGATTCAAACTTTATAAAATGGTAAATAAGGATTTCATTATAGTTGGTTAACATACTTTTATAATTTAGTAAATGAATAAAAAATTGTTTTCATATTTATTTTTTTTTATAAATTAGTAAATTACAAATATTTCATTGCATTAGTTTTAATATAATTGTATTAGTTTTTAGAATGTCGTAAATATAAAATTATTTTTAAATAAACTATCTAATAATGTTTAGTATTTTTGTTCTTTTGCAGGCATGAAGGCTAAAAGGTTAAACATTAGTGAAAAATATGAAAATTTTAAATGAGTTATGTTGAATGAAACAGAATCATGAATAATGCAAACGTTCCCCATTTCAAGTTTTTAAAATGTTGCAAAAAAAAAAAAAAAAAAAAAAAAAAAAAAAAAGAAAAAGAAGAGATAAACTTGTAATAAATTTTAGAAATGTTATTCTTTATCATAAAAAAATGTGCATGAGAAAAATCTTAAACTCTATCATGTTTACAGTATTTACATTAGTCGGACTTTTGTCCTCATCTTTGTCGCCATATTTGTCACAACGTTTCGGCC